CGGCCGGAAACGTGCCATGCATGATTTTTAAAGCGTCCGAATAAACCTAAAACATTGATCTAATCGACAAACCACCTATGCAATTCTTAAGAGGACATATTAGGCTACTAAAACCAGCCATGAAACCACACCACTCCTTAACCTGATTCTCCTACAAAAATCACCAAACCTAGCTTTGTCAAACCACTTTTCAGACTTACGAAATCGACTAAGTCTTGATCGGATTCGCGTCAAATTCGATTTCCAAGCTATTAGGTATGCTAGCTAGGGAATTCATTATTTGACCGCAGGTATTTCATCGTCATCTACAAGGTTTGTACTTCTAACTTTATTAAAGTTCCACATATACGTGCTATAGTATTTTCGTTCAATAAAAATTCACGAACATTCTTACTTGATAATTTCATAAGTCGCAACACCCTTTCGTTACACATTTCCGTTGGTCGTTTTAAGTTACGTATATTGATTTACACACTATATCACATGCATTGACACATAACCATGATGCTCATGACATGTTTTAGCAAAAGATTTTACAGTGTAACACCGATGGTGTTATAGGTGAAGTGCTCCAACTTGCTTTCCGGCTTGACAAGCGCTACAAATCCTATCTTTCTCAAAGTGAACATTTGTTAGTCCAAGAATGTGTTCGTCTTTTAGAAGTTTGGCTAAGTTCCTCATCCCAACATGGGCTAGTCGGCGATGCCAAAGCCAACCCATGCTAGATTTTGCCACTAAACAAGTCTAAAGCTTAGCTTTACTTTTGTTGAAATCAACTAAGTAAAGCTTGTTCTTTAATTGACCCATAAAGACAATAAAGGAATCCCCCCTTCTAAAGACTTCCATACTCTTATCTGAAAAGAGATAATTATAGCCTATCTCAGACAATTGAGAAACGGACAATAAATTGTAACTGAATGAATCAACATATAATATATTTGTAATTGAATGCTCAAGGGTTATAACAACTTTACCAAGACCAATCACATCCCCTTTTGAATTGTCTCCAAAGACAATATTTTCATTTGACTGCGTCATCGGGGAATATGATGAGAACATACTCCTTTCTCCAGTCATATGATTTGTACATCCACTATCAAGCACCCAACTTGATCCACCGGAGGAGTATGCATATAAAACAAGTTTGGTTGCTAGATTTAGGTCCCCAATTTGACTTGGGGCCTTGCATGTTAGTCACAAGAATCTTAGGAACCCAAATAGAAGTATTTCTATATATGTTGGTTTCCTTTCCAACATATTTTGCAACCACTTTCCCACTGCTGTTGTTCCTCAAAACAAAGCATGATGTCAAGCTTTGTCGAGGTGCATAAGTCCTCGGTTGATAGGCATACTTATTCTTGGTGCCCCACACTGATTCCTTAGGCTTATGGAAAACCTATTTCTCCTGGTACACCTTCTTCTTGGGCTTAGTTTGATCAGGAGCAGAATTGGTAGCCTTCGTATTTTTGTGGGGCGCGGCACTGCCGCTCGAGGACGCTGTACTGCCACAGTCTATGCAGACTGATCTGTACTAATTTTGCCCTTCTTTTCAAACTGCACACACTCATAGCCATTCACTATCCTTCTTTCATTTGTTTTGGCTCCTTTTGTGTGTTCAAGCCCATGCTTGATTGAAGGATGTCTTCCTTGCTTGAATTATGGCCCATTTGATTCATCATTCTTCTTGTCATTGGATTGAGTCTTACCTGTCCACCCTTTTTCAATGACTTCATTGAGCCTAGCAATTTCTTTTTTTATAGCCTCCATGTTTGCAAGGTTAGTGGAATGGTTATTCAAATCAAGATTGAAATATTTTCCACAACCTTGACTAGTGGAGGGAGTAGAGGTTTTCTTTGCCTTAGAAAGATGTGAGTTGCTATCCCAAAGAATGCCATATTGCATCTCAAGTTCTTTGTGCTTTTCATCCAAGTCACAATACTTTTTCTTGAGAGCTTTATTTGCTTTCTTTGTAATAGCATAGTCCTCTTGCTCTTTGGCCAAAGCCTTGCGCAAGGATTCCACGTCACTTCTCTCTAATACAAGAGCTTCTTTGCTAGCAATGTAGAGATCCTCTTGTTGGATAAGAGTCTCTTCTCTAGATTCTAGCTCGGCTTGAACACTCTCTAAATCCTCCATTAGCTTAGTGATGAATAATTTGGTCTTTCCATCTAAAGTTTTAGTTATCATGTTTATTTCTTCATCACTAGATTCATCATCACGAGAGCTATCAATAATATCACTAGGAGGTGGAGGAGATTTGACCTTCGATTTGGATTTTACCTTCTCACCCTTTGTCATGAGACAAATGTGAGGGGAGTAGTAGTCATCGTCGGATATGTCGTTGAAGAGCCTTGGTGTAGGGAATGACTTGTGAATAGCAATAGTTGCAACATTCTCATCCTCTTCACTTGTGCTCTCTTTAGTTGAGTCCCATTCATGTCCAATGTGAGCCTCTCCCATGTACTTCTTGCTCTTTTTACGGTAGGCCTTCTCCTCTTTCTTATCCTTCTTGTATTTGTTGTCCTTGATCTCATATGGACACTGGGCAATGAAGTGATCGGTGCTTCCACAATTGTAGCATGTCATCTTTTTCTTGTTTGGAAAGCTTCTCTTCACTACCTTGTAGCCTTGCTTCTTTAGCCCCTTGTGATACCTCTTCATAAAGAGAGCAACATCATCAACTTTCTCATATTGATCATCATCATTTTCACTTTCACTTGAAGATGATGTGGTCTCTACTCTTTCTTGAACTTGCTTGCTTGCTTTGGGCTTGCTAGTTGAAGCTTGTTGGTTAATCTTGGACTTGCTTGTAGAGCCTTGCTTGCTTGATTTGTTGGCCTTGAGATCTACATCTTTGATCTTGATGCCCTCTAACTTTGCTTGCAATTCTTCAAGTTTTTTCCTCTCATTTGCTTCTTCTCTTTGCATGTCAAAGGTCAAGATCTTCCCAAGTACATCATTTGATGTGAAGCACTCAAACTTCTTCTTATCTCTAATTAGAGTGACTACGGTCTTATTTCTAGGTGAATAAACTTCTAACATAATCTTGACAACTTTGTGATCATCTAGCTCATTACAACCATAGCCTCTAATCTTGTCTACCATCGTCATCAACCTATCAAACATCTCTTGTGGCCCCTCTCCATCCAAGATTATAAACTGGTTAAGCTTTGACATCAACAAGTCAATTCTTGCCTTTCTTACTTTGTCAACCCCTTCATGTGCTAGGTGCAAAGTGTCCCATATTTGCTTGGCAACATCAACTCCAATCACTCTATTGTACTCATCACCATCCAAGGCACTAAGCAACACACTTGTGGCTTGACCATTGAGGTGAATGATTCTCATCTCTTCTAGTGTTGGGTTCTTGGGATCAACCGGTGGCTCAAATCCATTGCAAACAATCTCCCAAATGTCGGGGTGAAGACCTATAAGATAAGCTCTCATCAAGTGCTTTCACTTGACAAAGTTAGTCCCATTAAAATGAGGTAACTTGCCCGCGGGCACATTGATGAAAGACCTCCGATCATGATTAGTCATAGGAATAGAAGAATAGTTAAAGGATACGGCGGCATATTTGTTATTGTCGACCTTGCCCTTTCCTTTCTTTTCCTTTTTGTTCCCCTTCGACACTTGGTATGACTCATCATCATCTCCATCTTCGAAACTATTTGATATGCTTGATGATATACTTGTTGCCTTCTCTTCTTCTTCCTTCTTCCTAGCTTCTCTTCTTTTTCTTCTTGCTTCTCTCTTAAGCCTTTTTTCTTCTTTCCTTTTCTTCTTCTTCTCTAACCGCTCATCCTCCTTCTTCTCTCTTGCTTCTCTTTTTAGCTTTCTTGCCTCCTTCTTTATTCTCTCGTTATCATCGAGAGCTCTTTCGGCATCGGTAGCCTCAAGATGTGGTAGTGTGGTGTTGCTCGCTGTCGACGCGCTCAGTTCGCTGCTGTCCGTGTTGACATCCACCCGCTTCACGCTACTAGTTTCTCCTTCGGCCTCCATACCTCACGCGGTGAAGCGTATATGAGGTAACCCGCTCTGATACCACTTGTAGGATCTCTGGTTGGTCTAGAGGGGGGCGAATAGGCCTGTTAAAACAAACACTCAAACTTTTATCAAATTCACCCTGTGGCACTGCCACTCTAGAGGACGGCACTGCCGGACTGCGACACTATCGGACTAGAACAGCAGCACTGCCGCACCTACAGACAACTTCGAGTCATAGTTCAGAATCAGTGAACAAAAACTTATATCGAAGAAATTTGTCAGCTTGCACAGGGCGAAGGTGGTGGAGGAGACGACTGAAGAACAGGCGCCTGCACCTGGTCCGGGTCTTGGTCCTGGTCCTGGTCCGAGTCAGGGTCCAGCTCCGGCTCCGTCTCCGGACGCCCATTCGCTGGGGCGGGAGAAGACGCTGATCGGGGACGTGCTGCTCAGGGAGTGCAAGCACGTGCTCGGCTTGTTCCCCACCATGTGCCGGAAAAAGCCGCACAACCACCAGTACGTCGGAAAGATCATCGGCCGGTGGCGGTGGTGGTTCAACTACTAGATAGCTAGCAGATTGCCATCGGCGGCGGCGGCGCGTGCGTGGTGTACGACTGAACCCTTCCGTTGGCGAAGGTGCATACGTACGCATGCAGGAAAGGAAGTGATATAAACACGATGTGTATATACACGTTGTGTTTTGAATTCCTGACAAATTAAAAGCAATCAGGAATTCAGGATACCTCTTCCGTTTGTTTTTGAATTCATGACTTGTATAGTATACATTGGCACTGATCGTATCGTATACCCACTACACATATCCATGTATGCTTTACTGGTACAACAAAAAATCCATTGCCGTAGGACAAGGGTCACTGAATCAGATGAGGATGCTGGCCAAGGTTGGTTGACAAGGGCCAGGGAGATTAGGGACTGGCTGAACCTGAACAAGAAACAAATAGAGAGCTTGCAGGAGGGACTACACCTACAAGGATCAGAGGCAGGGCAGGGTGGTGCTACAATGGTGGGTAGAAATATGACGAAAGAGAGAACCCAAGGAAGAGGAGGCCTCCGATGGTTGCGACCGTGCCCTGAGATATCTTGGAGGCCAGCATGCTGCCGCCCACCACCACGATCGACGTGCAGATGGTGTGCCCCAAGGTTGCTCCTGTAGCAACTCCGACAGCATTTTTGTGGGTCGCCAGCTGCATTGAGGACCATGCTTCGAGTTCAGTTACGAAGTTGGATGAAAAGGAGACAGCTGGAAAATCCAATTTGAAGAGGGAAATTGAACTGTACCGCTATTGTAGCTATCTGACTTCGGTCACCCCACTCCGCCAAGAAGGTCAACACAAATGACTGAAATCAAAAGTCAATACGTCATATAGAAAGCGAGCAATACACTTGGCACTGCTACAGCATCAGTACCGATATGTATGGTTACCGTTACATTAACTAGTGTTAACAGAAACATGCAATGTCAGAAAGGATTCTAAATTATCTGAAAGCGGGAAAGGATTGCACAAGATTTCACCATCCACCACAAAATCAGAAGTAAATGCATGTTTCAGAGAAAGTGTAAAATGGGGAAGGGAAAGGGAAACCTACCTCCAGGAAAATAGGAGTGCAGAATCTCGAGAAAACACGTCTAAATGTTGACTTCCCTTGGCCTGCTTCCAGCTTTTCCTCTACCTGTATATGTCAAGGAACAAACTGTATTATATAATATAGTGATAGTCTTTAAAAAAGAGTGTTACAACAGTCACTGACAACCAATGAGCACAGTCGTCTGAACAATGAGTAGCAGTATTAACTCTTGACATCTGAAGCTAAATATCACATTTCAAGCACAAGTATATCCTACTTATGTTGTAAGTTGTAACAGGTCTAATCAAGAATAGTCCATGGTCAGGAAGGCCCAATCAGTTATGGACTCAAAATGTGTTTATGCTATATCTAGAAAAGATGGATGATGCTTAGCATGGAAATGAAAAGAAAGTAACAATTCGAGGTAAAAAATTCCACAAACTTCTTCTATTTCCTTCTTCTGTGATGCCTTGGAATCTGACCTCCAAGCAATGTACAGGAGCCGTAGCCCAAAAAATGCATAGAGGACTGAAGCACAAAACAATAAAAGAGGATATATCAGAATGCACTGCTGCATCCTACAGAACCGATATAACATCAAGATTGCTACAATATCTTATAAGAATCGTAAGATTAAGAATATTCGTGCTCAAATGGTACATATACATCCATAAGACCTTGGAAGACCATTAGTTGCACTAGCAAGAAACAAATGTTCTTTCTTGCTCCAGTAACCAAAATTTGAATATCTTACGATTACTATCATTGGAAAAGGGAGTAATCTAGCAAATGGTTGCACCCACTAGTAATGTTTATTGGAAGGGAAGAACCTAGAACTTGATTGTTATGCATTTTTGCCCCAATTTTGATGCACTTGGATGCAAGTAAAATTAGGAAAACACTACTGTGAGAACATAAATTTACTTCCATCACCATCACTATGACGATCTGTAAAAACATCTATGGGCCTGTTCGCTTGGAGGAATTTGGAATGCTGGAGGAATTTGTGAGAGAAAAACACTGTTCCGGATGAAAAAGAAGCGGATCAAGCTGGATTTAAGGGCACGCGAACGGGGCCTATGTCTCCACATTTTTATACAAACACTGACTTTGAAGCATATGCACCTAGCATCTGAACTCTGATCTGATTGGATGCAGGTATGTCACATCTAGTGTACCGCTTCAGGTACTTGCAGGTCAAATATTCATCAGTATGTGGCGGTTAATATATTTATCAGTGTTTTTGGGACATTTGGGGCCATACTAGTCATCTGTTACTTCGATTTGATCCGCCAACCACTAGAATCTGTAAACCTTGGACCACCTTTATCAATGGTACACAATAAGGCGACATTCAGATAAGCCATACCTGTCGCCGCGCTGTTAGTGTGCTTCCTCGATATCAAATTCGGAACGATTCTGCCTAGTCCAGTAGACAGCACCTAAGAATGCAACACCACAGAGGCACAGAAGGATCAGTCTCAATCAGACTAGTAAGTACTAGCAACTTTTTCCCCCCCGACAGAGCTGCAAAAGCTTCAGTGAAACACCTACCGTCATAACGACAAGTGCAGACAGTGCGCCCGAGAGCACCGTCGACTTGGGGTGCCGCATCGCCATCAGCGCCGCGATGATAAACGTCTCATCGCCAATCTTCACCCGGAGAAGACCCACAGACATTCAGAGACAGGTTACGAAGGCTTGAAGAGCGTATATACGCGCGGCAGAAGGGAAACCCATGAACACCGGCGCCCGCGGTACCTCGCTAACGACGATCATGGACAGGCTGGCGAAGAAGGCGTCGAAGAGCCCCAAGCCCGTGTCCTGCGCCCCAGCCGCCCGCGCCCCCGCCGTGTGGTGGAGGAACATCTGGGAGGCAGAGCACACGGGAGGCGCGTTCAGTGATAGAGCAACCCAATCTCTCTCAGACAGTCAGAGTCGAGACACACAGCGTGCCCCCAGGGGCCCGGCGCGCTCACCTTGGTGCGGCGGTCGAGGCGGTCGGCGCCGACGCCAGTGCCATTCCCGGCAGCGCCATCAGCAGCCTGACAGAAGAAATGCAGGGACCCGGAGCGTGAGGCCGTCGGAGACGAGCCTTGCGGGACGGACGAGGAAACGGGCGAAGCACGGGGACGTGGTTGGAAATGCTCACCTGGTCGGCGGCGGAGACGGAGACTGGAACGGAGACCGCGAGGAGGAGAACAACGGCGGCGGCGAAGGCAAAGCCAGCACACGCTAGGCATCGCAGCGGGACGGAAGGCGACGCGAGATCTGCGCATGCAGCAAGCAGTCTGGGCGGGGGGCTGTCGGCGCGGCGTGGCTAGGCGGGGCGGGACGCTGCCGGGATCTCGGAGGAGAGGAGGAAGGGGGCAGCCAGCCGGGCGACCCGCGTGCGCCGGTGCGCGTCGGGATGGCCGAGGAGTTAAAAAGAAGGCAAAATTTGCCCGGGGACATTGAAAAAACGTGGATTTTGCCACTAACCACTAAAAAGGAATGGCTTTACTACAAAACATTATAAAAATATAGGATTATGCTCTGCGTTGCAACGGGAATAAAATAATACATGGCCATCTCAACACGTGCAGTGCCAGAGTGACAAACGCAATCGTGATCAACAGACACTCACACACAGATCGACAGCCGTCGACTATACACTTTGGAGTGCGAAAAATAATACTGTGATAATTTATTGTTCTAAAAAAACGATATAATTTCAGTAACATTTTATTTAGCCAATCATCACTGTTACATGAAAACCATAATGAGATGAGCATCAATTTTACATTTTGAGCTGAAGAAATTTCAACATGAAGAGCATCGAGAAATTGACATTTTGTCACCAGACACTAAAATCTACTTTATTTTAGCAAAATGTTGTTTTGATCCAATAGCTTAAAGATGAGCATCAATTTTACGTAACAACGATACTGAAACAAAAAATTCACATAATTCAAGTACATAGTTCAAATTAAAGATCGCTGGTGAGCTACTGCCACTACAAAGATCAGTATAAGAAATGTATCTGCAAAATAACAATAATTTACAGTTAGTTATTACACACATTCAATTTTTAAGCTATTACCATGAGTAATGGTATTTCATATTGCTATAGACAGAGCATATACCAAATCTCCACATTTAATAAAATATCTAAAACACCATCAGAATACTTTGATGGCATTACAAGGAAATAAGCTGCATATGAAAACAACTTTCTAGCTTAGAAGAGACAAACCACCTTTGTTTACAAAAGTAAACATGTGAGGAAAAAAAATAATATTCCATAGTATTTTAGAATGAAAGTACTATCATGTTTCAAATATAATTTACACATTTTTAAAATAATTAAATCCATTTTCTTGTCAGACCACAAGACCCGGTTCCAAAACAAATGGCAACACAAGCAATTAACAGACTGTACCATTCAAAAAATCAATAAGTAATGCTCTCACTGGAGAATTAAAAATGAAAGTAAGTAATTCTCTTTAGTGTGCTAAGCATCACCAGTAACATCTAAGTAAAACACCAAACATACAAGGAGAAAGAATGAGCTCCTTTTGATCATCTACACACAAATTACAGTGAGTTTCATCATCCATGTGTATATTCAAGTAGATATTTTCATCCTCCCTTTAGCTATTAAAGACATAAGACATAATAATAAAAAACAGAAGACATCATCAGTCTGTGGCTAGTTGCCTACACATGTATCAATGTCACTGACACACTGAACTTCTAAGGTCTGCAGTGATGTTTGATTCTGAATCAGACGTTTTTCAGGTTTTTAGCAGCCGAAGTGAAAATCCCTATGCAATTTTATCAAATGACAAATGACCTGTGCAATTTATCAATCTTTTGGTGCTGCATTTGTTTCCTAAGCACAAATTCAGTGGAAAACAAAGCTGCTCCAGAGCAAATATTGTCCATGGCACACCTACATGCCAAAGATTATTCAAAGAGCAAACATACAAGAGCTGAAATGCCTTGATTAATGTCTAAGGTTGCAAGAAAATATAGTACTTGATCACTTATCGCACCAAAATGATCAAAGAAATGAATTTACGTGTGAAGGCACTCAATATAATCATTATTACTTAGATCACCCATGTTATTTTTGTTCAACCGAGGATAGTTCAAACGGAATACTATAAGAATGCACTTAAAGAAACCCCCAGAAATAAATAGGACAAATGACCTATGCAATTAATTTATCAATCTTCTGGTGTTGTATTTGTTTCCTAAGCACAAATTCAGTGAAAAAGAAAGCTGCTCCAAAGCAAATATTGTACTCATTCCCATTTAGTATTGACATGGCCACCTAACTGTGTCTTAAATAAATAAAATGTAGTTCATGAAGTGAAAGAGTAAACCTTTACTGTGGAACCAGAATGCGCAATGGCCTCCCTTCGCTTCCTCTGTTCCTTAGATATTAGCGATTTCAAGCCATCTCTATTATGTACCATAATGGAAACTTGCCATTGCAAAATTATCAGTTATACTACCTTTGGTTGAATGAGATCGTAATTTTTGTAGAAGCAGATTTTCCAAGAAGATTATAAAGTTTCTATCAATAACAAGCTAAAATAATTTGAACCATAGCAAAAGTGAGGAAAGAGTAAGAAAAAAAAACGCCACAATAGGGTTCATAATAAGTGGGCATCTGTTTATCATCTATTATGGCCTGTCAGTTCTGCTGAACCAAAAGAAAAAAGAAATGGTACAAGTAAATTTTTCGCTAGATAAATGCCTTTGTCTACCACTGTTCACTGTCCGACAAAATTAATTTTGCATATTTTTTATCTAAAGATATTGGTCTCAGTCTTGCATGTGTCTGTCTACCACAAAACATATATATTTGCATAGCGTTACATGTGTCCTAATTGGATTTTGATAGTTTATTATGTGAGAAAAAAAATGGAGCCCTCAACAAAAAAAAGGAAGCTAGAGAAGCAACCTGAAAACCACAGGGAACGTTCAAACAGGAATTGTACTTGAAAGCAAGCTTTGATACACACCCTCGCTGAAGTCGCTGAAGCTATGAATTTATCACAAATGCCATCCTAAAGTTATTATGAATTATTGGCACATATAAAATGAACCGAACAAAAAAGAGAGCGAGAGGTATATATTCATTGCCGGATCATGAACAGTGGAGAGAGGCAAAACCTGGATTGTCCCTAGGGCCGTCTGCAGCGTTGTAGCAGATAGTTGAAACCAACAAACAATTAAAGTCGACTGAAACAAAAGGCTGAAACAACAAGGAAGAAGAGCCAATTTCAGATTATTGGCATTCAGATAGAAGTCGACTGAAACAACATGGCTGAACCAGAACGATGATTAATTCAATCACAAACTGCTTATATTGTAGAAACTATTGCATTCTGCTTATTCTTGATAGTAGTTCAGGGCAGCAATCTCACGCTCAGCACATGGCCAGGTTCTGTTCTTAAGATGCAAGCAGCAAACATCAAAACCACACCATGCTAACTGTACATGTATATGTTCGGATCCAAAAATCTTAGTATATTTACAAAACCTTGGATCAGAGCACGATGGTGATGGTGCAAGTATAAACCTCACCCCTCTTTATTCCATGACGCTGCCAGTTGCTGATGGTCGCTGGCCGCCGGGTGATGGCCGCTTTGTCATCTAGTCGTCTCAGTACTCAGATATTATGGAAAGAAAAAGAACTAAAATAGAAAAGGGCACACCTTGGATGGCAACGTCGATGATCCATGATCTTTGATTGGCCAAGACGGTTGCAGCTGTGGCTTGCCGTTGACGCGCCACCGTGGGTTTTCACCTTAGATCATCTTCGTTGTCCGTGCAGCTTCGAGGGAAGGCGTCGGCGGGGTAGGCGTGGCCACGTGGGTGCATGATCGTGATGGACATCCTTGCTCGATGCACGACTGCAGCAATCCAGTGAGGACACGATCAGGGAAAAGCACGCGATCGGTGCTTCCTTGAAGAAGAACGAGCGTGGCGGCCTCCAATCAGTGAGGAGCATTAGCGAGCGAGGGGATTAGGGAAGAGCGCGCGATCGGCGAGGGGCATGGGGGAGAGGGTCATGATGGTGTGGGGGCGTGATTGGAGGACTCGATCTCGCAATTTGAAGGGAGCATGATTGAAGGGAGCATGATTGGAGGACTGCGAGGATTACGAGAGAGATGACGGATGATGCCGGGGAGACACTGAGCGGGGGATGAGTCGAGAGCACGCCGGGGGAGGCTTGGGAGCGAACGACGTGAGGTGTCATGGGGGATGAGTCGAGATCGCACCCGGGGATGCATGGGAGCGAGCGGCTTTGGTGTCGCACCTGTGGACGGAATAGTTATGAATGTTTTAGTTGTAGAGATAGTCATTTGTTGTTGGATACTATAGCTCTTATAATATGATTTCTCATTCAAACAGGTAAGTAAACATAATATCTAGACAGAAATACCCCTGCCCTTCAATTCAAGGTTCCAGTAACATAACAAGTTATATTTCATCACTATAACATGCATATTACAACAACATTTTAACAGATTCATGAACATGACAGGTTCAAAAGAAAGTAGCAGGTCCAAGCCCACAAAATAACATATTCTAGCAACATTTCAGCCACACTTTCAGTCAAGTACAACCACAAAATATAGGCTGAGTAACAGGCTTCAACCAACTAAAGTGCACAGCCTATGCTTTTTTAGACCTAACAACCTGCAACTTCTTTGCCTTTCCCTTGTTAACACTAAATGGAGATGTGATTGGACATCCAATAGGCTCTATGGCGTCTTCAAGTTCTAGCAACCTCTTACGACTATAGATGAGTATAGAAACATGTTAGCTAAATAGAAACTACAACAGGAACATATAATAAAAATATGCAA